GAATCAGCTGAAGATGTACTATCTCTGAAAGTTAGGAAGATGGCTGTGGTTGTTGGTGAGTCATCTCAGATCTAGGACATCTCTGCAGGAGTTCCTCAGGGTAGATATTTTCTAAATCAACTTTTCCAGTGATATCATTACACACCCCTGGAACAAGTGAGATTTGAACCTGGACCTCCTGGATCAGAGGTAGGGACTCTATCACTGCACCACAAGAACCCTTAGTGCCTCAGGGTAGTGTCCTAGACCCAACCATCTTCAGCTGATTCAGTGAGCTCCCCTCCATCACAACAGATGTTCAGCACCATTCATGACTCCTCTCATAGTGAAACAGTCTCTGTCCAAATGCAGCAAGGTCTGGACACAATCCAGGCTAGGGCTGACAAGTGGCAAGTAACATTTGTAGGCAAAGGCCATCTCCAAAAAAAGAGAGACCACTAACCAATGGCATTATCACTATTGACATCCTCGGGGTAACCATTGATAAGACAGTGAACCAGACCAGTCATATAAATACTGCTGTTACAAGACCAGGTCAGAGGAAAGGAGTCCGACAGCAAGTAACTCACCTCCTGACTCTCCAAAGCCTGTCCACATCTACAAGGCACGCATCGGGATTGTGATGGAATACTTTCTACTTTGTCTAGATGAGTGCAGCTTCAGTAATGCTCAAGAAACTTGACACCATCTAGGACAAAGCTGCCCGCTTGATTGGCACCACATTCACAAACATTCATTTCCTCCATCACTGATGTTCAGAAACATCCATAAGATGCGCTGCAGAAATTCACCAAGGCTCCTTGGACAGCACCTTCCAAACCTGTAACCAACACCATCTCAAAAGATAAAGGCACCAGAAAAAGTGGGAACACCACCATTTGCAATTTCTCTCTCAAGCCACTCACTATCCTGTCTTAGGAATATATCATCTGTCCTTTGGTGTCGCTGGGTGAAAATACTGGAACTCCCTCCCTAACAGCAATGTGGATGCCCCTGCAACAAATGGACTAGGGCACTTCAAGAAGTCGGCTCACCACCACCTTCTCCTGGGCAACTAGTGATGGACAGTAAATGCTGGTCAAGCCATCAAAACCCACACCCATGTATAAAATAAAAATGGTTTTAAAAATAGTTGTTGTTGTTTTGGTGTCAGTTCTGTGAAGGCAATGTTTTAAACATCAGACAGATATTTGGCACAGTGAAATCTAGCAGAAAGGGTTTTAATTAGTGAAGCGTCTGGGTTGTGACTGTGTGTATAGACATTTTCAAGGTATCTGAATTGGAGAGATTTAGGCCTTCAGAATTAATAAAAAACATTTCATGCCAGACATGGAAAGAAACTGTAAAATTATCTTGGGCCAAAGAAGGGAACTGAGAAAAGTCACTTGCGTGAAAAATGAAAGTGTTGGGCTAGGAATGATATTTCCCTGGGATTGAGTGACTATAAAAGGATAGTATTGGGAAACTGGTTGAAATTTGCTTTTCTGTTCTTCCTAAATTGTCATGTGTGCATATAGATCTATTTTCTTATTCTTTTGTGTACTAATCTTGTTTTCTTTTGTTAAAGAATTCTTCCAGCCTTGTATATATGGTCAATGATTAACCAGCACACTAAGCAACTGTGGATTGAAGATTGTCAAATGGGAATCCACAAAAAAAAACTGAAGGAGTAGAAAATTTATGGGATGGAAAAAGTCTTAGCTTTATGCAACGACCAGAAATATGCTAAGGTAGTGAAGAAGAAAGGCTCAAAAGAAAGAAATGATAAGGAAAATACTATGCTTCCTTTGTAATAAAATTGGACATACTAAAGTCAATAGCTGGAAGTTAAATGATAGACTACTGCAGTAGTAGGAATGCCAAAGGAATCCTCAAAAGGGGGCATCAGGAAAGGGAATGGGGATTAAAATTGTGTCTGTAGTATGAAGGAAACATGTTTCCTTGGAATCTACTAGGAACAGAGATGACTTAGGAGAGCAAAGAAAAAATTTCCTTGGTTATTGATAAAAAGAATCAGAGCACTGGAGGTTCTGAATATTTTCAAGCTTCTAAATCACTTCTGTACTTTCTCCAGAGAAATTATGTCCCTTCTGTGTAATGGACCAGACCAGACCCCCTCAAAATATTTTAAGAAGGTAGCCTAGACCCTAACTTTTTCTTATTTTAAAGGCAAATGTAAAGTACTGTGTTCCAGATGCAATTTGATTGGTCAAACTACTCGATGGTAAGCAAAACACAATTTATTCAAACACTATAGTTAAAATACAACAAAAGAAAGAAGAACTTAGATTAACTTAACTCTATTGGAAAACTTAACAGATAATACATACAGTAACTATCGCAATTAACTGTTCTAATATAGTAACATCCTACAGACACATCCCTCAGCAAAAAGGCAAATTCAGAAAATAGATTTGTCTCACAGGTAACCCAGCAGCAGAGAGAAACCCCAGCTTTTAGCTGTAACCGAGAGAGGGAAAAGATAGCTGCTACTTCTTCAAAGCTCCAGCAGCAATTGCTTAAAGGTAACGCTAAAACTAAAAAACAAAATACAAATTCTGGTCTGCCAGAGCTGGCCACACCCATCCAGGCTGCTTCTATTATTCTACTTTGGAAAAAAAAATCTGGCATTCCAAGTAGACAGCTTGGTACCTCTGTCTTAAAACCTCTCTTTAAAACAAAAGGACAAAATATACCTCTTAAGGTCACAGCATCATCACGCCTGTAATGTGGTGACAAGAACTGTACACCAAACTCCAGCTGTGGCCTAACCAGCATCTTACATAGTTCTAGAATTGCATCCCAGCTTTGTGGTCAATATCTCACCCAGTGAAGTAAAGCATTCCATATGCCCTCTTTCCCACTTTATCTACCTGCCCATCACATTCAGGGACGTGTGGACATGCATTCCAATGTCTCTCACTTCCTCTATCCCTCCTTATGTTCAGTGGCTTTCTTGTGTATTTAATTGCTTTGTTTGCCCTCACCAAACACATGACGTAATTTGTCCAGATTTAATTGCATTTGCCACGTTTCTGCCCACTCTACCGTACCATTGATATCATCCTTGAGTCCACAGCTATCCTCTTAATCATCATCTACACTGACACATATCCCAATCACTTGTTCCACATTGAAACGTAAATCATCAATATTTACCACAAACAGCATGAGACCCAAAACTGGACCCTGTGGGACACAATGGAAAATGCTTTTTATTCACAAAAACATCCATCAAATCTCACTCATTGTTTTCTGTCACTGAGACAATTTTTGGATCCAACCCACCACAAAACTAGGATTCCAACGGCCCGAGATTCAGTGGCTTAGATGTTGGCTTTCTGCAATGGTGGAGAATGTGGTTCCTGCCTTTTCCTCCAACTCAGGAACCCATGAGCTTTGAATTGAACAAAAATGGACTTGGTTTTAATTTTTTTTCCAATATATGATCTCTGTTACTCATATTGGTGCCGGAATATGGCTACTTAAACACTTTTCACCGTCTTTTTTTCTAAAAATACAAGGGACAATGAATTACTATTCTATTCTAAAACTTATGAGATACACGGAAATAATTTTTCTCATCAGTTTGTCACATGGGACCTTGTCAAATGCCTTACTAAGATCCATGTAGACAACATCCATTACCCTAATCCATCCGGTTTTTATTTTCTCAAACAATTTCAATTTAGTCAGACACACCCATCCCTTAACAAAACCACGCTGAGTATCCATAAGTAATCTGTGCTTTTCAAAGTAACAGTTAACCCTGTATCCTCGTATTGATTCTAATAGGTTGCCCAACACCAAGTTCAGACTGAGCAATTACAGGTTATTTTTTGGCCTATCCCTCACACCTTTTTTGAATCTAGAACTAATGGGTAAAAGATCTCCCATCTAAGCATATGAAGATGTATTTCTTGTCCAAGAGTCATTAGCCTGGAATTCTGTTTCTTGGAGAATAGTGAACAATCAGATATATTTGAGGGTGAGTTTGGCCAGAAATTGATTTACAAATAAAAGGTCGTGGACAGGAATGTGGTGTTGAGGCCACAATCAGATCAGCCATGAAAATTCTACAAAAGAATTTTAAAAGTCAAGGACTGGAAGTCAATTTGGATTAGTGACCACACCAGCAGTTGATGCGAGTTTGGAGATTACAGCAGTCTTGCATGATCTGATATTTACAGAATTGGTCACGGTGACATACAGATGAAGATAGTCAGCAATCAGAACCTTATACACAAACTGCTAATACCTGTGAAATCCACCAGAATTAGTTGCTATGGCACACTATTTTTTCCCTTGACGTTTAAAATACCCAGGTAATGGAGTCATTGCATGGCTCAAGGCACCATGAAAATTGAGTGAACTAGGAGATACGATTAGCTAAAACAAACAATGATGTTAAAAGCCAGATTTGGCAGTAGATCCAGATCTGAGAGAAGTTCTGTGAAACAAGCAAATTGACCACACATTAGGATCAAACAGGACTGGTAGTAAAGATTAGGTTACTTTACCTTCTCTCAAGCTGGTAGCTGCATCGCACAACCAAGTGTCTATCACTAATCGAAGGTAACTAACTAGTCTATAACTGATCCACACATAACGTCAGATAAGTCACAGTAGGAGAGTTTTGGGCGCCATACATCAAAAGACCTGTTGGAAGGTCACCATCCTGATGGTTTTCACACCACAGATGCTGCCTCACCCACTGAGTGCCTCCAGCATTTTTGTTTTGATCTCAGATATCTTGCATTCATGTCATTTTGCTTTTGCATAAATCCAAAGCACGCTACACTGACAAAGTAATGATCTGGATGTCAACACATATGGATGCAGAAACAGGAGAACAAATTGACATCAACAATACTATAAACTCAAAACTGCTGCATAAACAGAACGACATAAACAAAAAGAAGTTGATGAACGCTTTTAATATTTAATTTTTTAACAATAATTACAATAATGAGCAACAACTACAAAAAGACATTTAGAAATGGTTTGCCATACCTGAGGGAATGCTGGGGCAAAAAATGTGGGAATGTCCCAGCTTCCTCATCCTCCTGTCTCTGACAATAGGTGATCAGCACAATGTTACTAGTGGTTGTGTTATGTTACAGATCACCAAGTGAGTCCAAATTAACATGGCAAGATATATTTTTGGTGCTTGTTGTAGTCTGGAAAAATAGCTAGGGATATAGAGACTCCAATTTTCTTGCCAAAACATGGAAGATAAGGAATCTCTCCCACTCTTATCACCTGCCATTGGTATGTTGGAAGAAAGGACTGCAGGTTGAAACTCAGACCAGTCTGTCTGTATTATGAACACACCTTCTTTGGCCATCAACCCTTATGGAAGGATTCAAACCCAGAACTTCTCACTCATTGGCAATCACTAATATTAATTTAACAGAAGATTACTGAAACAAAAATCAGTCAAGTAGCATTATCAAGACTCAGTTGGTATCTTTGCAATATCAGACAGAGATTTTAAGGTCTGGTGTGCCACGAGCTGTGGAGACCAGAACATCTCAGGTTCAATCACTGAGTTGCGGGAAGTTGAGTTAGCAGCAGGAGTGCGATAATTGATTGCAATACCTTTGACCAAACCAACACTTAAATAAAAATCTGTTTATGGGTCCACTCTGAATCACTAAGTATTGGACAATTATTTATGGGGGATGACAATTTATGGCTCGGAGATGGTAATTCCTGTGAATCAACAGGCTTGAGGTACAAAGCTGTCCAAACTCCTATGCAAAGAACGGCTATCTAGGTGAGGTAAAAGCAGGCTGTTTGTACGGTTAGTATCTTAATTTGTCTTTCTTCTGACCTTTACTTATAGACGAACACATCCTCAGTGTTGTCTCAATAAAAGAGATGGTGCCATTCCTTGATCTTCCTTGGGAATTAAAAAAAAATTGTCATAAATAAATATGAAATTTCTAAAAATCACAACTACTAATGTGTATCACTAAACTGGGACCATTAGATCATAAGCTCTGAATAACTAGATTGCCACACTCAGGTTTGAGGGATCAGTTCACTTGAATAATTTTGGATGCATCACCTGAGAGGAAAGTTACTCTGAGGAGGATTAAAACCAACTTTGCATTTTGGCTACATGTTCTCTCCTTTAATTGTACTTTTAAACACTGCCTTAGCCTTCTGTCAGTACCATTACATTTTCTCAGAAAAGATCATGAAGCCACGGCGCACTGTCTCACAGCAAGTCCTCACTTCTAAAAAAGTGAGGCACACCATCATTTCCTTAAGGTGCAGAAAGTCTGGGGAAAATTGGTTCTTCAGGCTCGCTGCTAGCACACTCCTTAGTACAGGTGAAAGATGGAGGGAGGCTTCACATACACACTGTTGCTAGCAGAGTCAAAAGAAGGTGAAAGATTTTTTACATGATGTGATAGTGTGAAGTTTAAGTGGTGAGATGTTCGTCGATAAGGCTAGATAAAGTAGATACTGGACAAATCTGTAGCTGTGGCTGTGGCTGGAGATGGGCAGTCATCCTCTTGATTCTCAATGTCATTGCCTGCTTGAAATCTAGGAGGTGCTGTCATGCCAGAGTGCAAAAGCTTAATGATTATGTTTTATTAGTTTAAAAAAAAATCTTTGTTGCTTAGGCCTCTGATTTACTGATTAGTCACTAAGCAAGCTGGATACAGGAGTATGACCGCAGCTGAGGTTGAGGGGAGCAGATCAACTTGCATTTGCTAGAATTTGCTGAGTCGCAGGACGATGTGCTCTCCTTGGTGTGGGCGATAATCCTGAATTCCTGCAGGCAGATGGTTAAAAACATAGCGTGAATAAAGAGAAAGCATTTCTATTCAAGAGGCAGTGAGCGACAAAACAATCCAGTACTCAGAAGTTTCGAAAGAAGCAATTTCCCGTGATTGCGGGTAGGATTGCATGTGGAGATGTCATCAAAAGTACACATTTATTTAGTGCCTTAAGCATAAAATCCAGGCTATCACACTACCTTACTGGTGATCTTAAATAGACTTGTTACACAGAGATCCTATCTGTCCTCTCAGATGGTGACAAAGTTCCATACCACTAAGAATACAGGATGTCTCTCTGGTCCCTTGCCTAGTATTTATTCCTCAACATCACCAAAAAAAAACTAGTTACCTAGTCATTATCACATTGTTGTAACAGCTTGCTATGTGCAAATTGGCTGCTGCATTTCCTACTCAACAGTTGACTATGTTTCAAAAATACTTTATTTGTAAAGTACCTTGTGATCCTGAGATCATGAAAAGTGTACTTTAAGTAAGAGTCTTTCTTTAATTTACTCTTCAAATGGGAAAAATACTACTAGGTACACCTTTCAGCCATTTAAACCAGGATGGTTCTGGTGATGGATCCAAACCCATGCTTATGCACTCTACTATAACAAGGGCAATTCGGGCTGGGCCATTAACTGTTGAACTTGCCAGCGACATCCACATTCGATGAACAAATATTTTTTGAAAAAGAACAGTAGAAAGAACAGCAAGAATTGCATTTGCTGAATAGCAATTCCTGCACCAATGTATGAAAAAGAATGGGCTGCAGTGCTTTGATCAACAAACACCCAAGGGCTGCACGTGTAAATATAGGGATAACTGTCACCCTTCTCATTATAGTGCAATATCCTGCTAGGATTGCAAGATAATGGAATCAGCCATTCAAATCCGGATTTCAAGACAACTGTGGGCTAAAAGTTGCTTTCATAAAGTGCATTAACACAACTATGCATTTGCAAATATATACACACAATATAAATGCGTATGTGCACATCATTTGTACATGCCAAAGGCATTGGTTCTTGTTCATTTCTGCATGTTTGCGTTGTAAATATGAAATATAAAATATATACGCATACCATTTTTCTCCACCAATGAAAATGTATACCTCTGCTAGTGCTCTTGGAAATGAAGGCACAGTTGCACCAGAATGATACTAGGCTTATGGGCATTAAAATTGTAAGGAAAGATTACATACATTGGCTTGTGTACACTAGTACGTTGTATAGGAAATCACCAGATGTTCTGATAGCCATTTTCTAAAATGGTTGAATTAATTTTATTGGGTAGGTACAGAGACATTTCCTCCAGTGGAGGGATAAAGAACAAGCAGACATAATCTTCACAGTTGAGCTAGATCATACATGAGTGCTTTTTCCACGGAAAAAGTAGAATCATAGAATCCCGACAGTGCAGAGAGGCCATTCAGCCCATCGAGCCTGCACCAACCCTCTGAAGAGTATCTCACCCAGTCCCCATAACCCTGCATTTCCCATGTCTAATCCACCTAGCCTGCACATCCTGGACACCAAGGGGAATTTAGCATGGCCAAACCACCTAACTTGCACATCTTTGGACTGTGGGAGGAACCAGGGCCGTGGAGGAAACCCATGTAGAAAAGGGGAGATTGTGCAAATTCCATTCAGATAGTCACCCAAGGGTGGGATCAAACCAGGGTCCCTGGTGCTGTGAGGCAGCAGTGCTAACCACTGAGCTACCGTGCCACCCTAGTGGAATAGTATTGGAAATTTGGAATTTTCCTTTCCAGGGAGTTCTGGCTGATGCAATCATTGCTAGCTTTGAGCTTGAAACAGGTTTTTGTTCAGTTAATGAATTTCAGGATATGGAGGCAGGTGTGCAATAACTTGCAGTTCAGCTCTAATTGAATGTCAAAGTAGATACAAAGGGGGTCAAATGACAAATTCCTGTTCCAAATGTTACTATTACCAAACAAATTCATCAATGGACCAAACCACACTTTACTGCACCCAATTACATCTCACCTTGTTTAAGTGGGGTATTGTTTCCCGTCAGCAGACGCCAATAGTTTCTCGAGTTATCTTGTGCCCTTAGGTTGCATACTGAAGTCAAGAAAGGTCCCCACAGTGTCGGTCTGGTCTCAAAGCTACAGGGTGCGCAGGAAGGAAACAAAATCTTTTATTTTCCACTGAAATCTAGGAATTAAGCACCACGAACTGAAAGTTCCTCTTCTGAAAGAGCAAAGACCCAAAAATCATCTGCACTGCTGCCCACATAGTATAGGTATAAATTAGGAAAGGAGTAATACTTCAGTGGGGTGCAGACACTCAACTGTGCAATTGTGAAGAATGCACACTTGGGTGAAGTAGCGGAGTGTTTCCCCTCCTTCGAAGGATTACCCAGCAAGATTTCCTTAAAAAGACTGAGACAGGATTGCACGGTTAGAGATGTCATGATATAGTTGAGACAGTAAACCAAGGCCAGGGTTTCAAATATCTAAAATAAAAGGTTTAACCAATTTTTAAAAACTTATTTTGCAATAACACAATTGAATGTACCCATAAATTGTCTTGAAGTCTCTTTTGGTCTAATTATCTTCTAATTCTGCTTCAATGTTTTCAACTGTTGGACAGAGCATTAAGCAAGAAATAACTGGAGCTTGTTTAAAAAAAACCGATGTACTAATCATGGTAAACTTCAATCTCCATGTACACAGACTGCAGAAATCACATTGGGAAATGTAGAATTTATAAAACACTTTTGTCAACAGCTTCTTGAAACAATACATTTTGGAAGCATAAGACCATAAGATTTAGGAGCAGAGTTAGACCCTTTACAACAAGACACTCAATAACTTGGCCTCCACTAGCAGCAGAGACTAGGACCTGAGGGAATAGCCTCAGAGTGAAGGGATGACCCTTTAGAACCGAGATGAGGAGGTATTTATTCAGCCAAAGGGTGGTTAATCTGTAGAACTTACTCCCACAGAGGACTGTGAAGGCCAAGTGAAGAAGTGTCTTTAAGACAGAAATAGATAGGTTCTTGATTGTTAAAAGGATCAAGGGTTATGTGGAGAAGGCAGGAGAATGGGGTTGAAAAACCCATGATTGAATGGCGGAGCAGATTCATGGGCTGAATGGCCTAATTCTGCTCCTATATCTTAGATTGAAATGCAACAACCTTGTTCAAGAAAAGGGGAAGAGATAAAACTAGAAACATAAAAATTAGCTTAATCGCCATCATTGGGAAAATGCTGAAACAGTTCACTTAGAAAATCATATTAAATCGGAATGTTCACTTGATTTTATGAAACAGAAATTATATTTGAGAATGTTACTAGTTGGGTAGATAACAGCAAGCCAGTATACGTAGATAATTTGGATGTCCAGAAGATTTTGATAAGGGCAAAGACTAATGTCCGTAGGATGATGGAGGAATAATACATTAGCATGTTGGAGGATTGTTTAACAGGCAGGAAGTACAGAATAGGGAATGAACAGGGTAATGAGTCAAGTGCCACAAGAATCAGTGATGCGGCCTCAGTTATGTGCAATCTATGTTAATATCTTGGATGAAGAGACTCAGAGTAATATATCCAAGTCTGTAAATGATTAGAAGTATGATTTTACATGCAGGAAAACTTTCAAGTCTTCAATTGACCTAAGAAAGTCCTAAGAAAGGTGGATATCAGTGAAGATATAATTAGATAATTGGCTCAAAAGAGGAAAGCAGTAAGCGCTCACAGTAAGATCAGGTCTCAAATGAAGACAGCAGAGTGCGGAGTTCCTCCTGTTCTAGATATTACATTTCCAGTGCACTGCAAAGTGGTTATATTTATGGACAATGTCATGTTAGAGATATTGTGATACTCTAAATTAGTAACTAAGATCTTGCACAGTACCAATTTGCACCTAGGGCGAGCAGTAGAAATAAAGTTAAATATGTACAAATCAGACATACATATACATGGTTAAGAACATCTTGCTCATGTTTTTAGTTGTTCCAAGAACTATAATGCAGACATATCCTGGCAGCTTCATTATGAAAGGATTGATATGGTATTGCAATGGTACGTGGCACTTATTGCAAGGGGAATGAAACATAGAAAAGTGTAAGGAAAATATATTGCAGTTATACAGGGCCTTGGTGAGACCTCATCTAGAGTGTTGTGTACAATTCAGGTCTTCTTATTTGGAAAAATAGATAACTGTATTGGTTGACAGAGATGCACTTGCCTCGCTCCTGGGACAAATGGTTTATCTTGAAGGACGACTGAACTGGCTGGCTGTCACTCACTGAGTTTAGAAGATTATGAAATTATCTTATTAAATCATTTAACATACTGAGATGAACAGACTGGTTGGGATTTAACAGGTTGTTTTCCCTTGTTGGAGAGGCTAGACCTAGGGGACAGTTTAATCATGAGAGGGTTTGCATTTAAGACAGAAAGATGGAGAAAATTTTAGTCTGTGGAATTTTCTTCCTCAAAATTCGTGGAGACTAAGTTATTGAATTTATTCAGGGAGAATTTGGCAGATTTTGACAGAAAAGGAAGTCAAAATATGAGAGACAGTAAAGTGGAGTTGAGATAACCATATCACATCGTTGAATGACAGCAGACTTGAAGGGTGAATGGCATACCTCTGCTCCTAATAAATCCAGTAGACAATTCAGGAGAAACATTTTAATCCAAAGAGTGGAACTTGCTAATCCAAGAACTACTGAGGCAATTAATATTGATTTACTTAAAAGGAGAAAGTATAGTAGTAGTCATCAAAGGGATCAGGTGAGGTAAACGTGGTCAAGCTTGTAAGAAGCATAAATACTTGGTATGGACTTGTTTTGACAAACATCCTAGGTCCATGCTGCAAATACTATGCAAGGCTATGCAAAGCATTCTGAAATTTATTAAAAATAATGATCTTACTTGAATTTTGCATCATTAATTCTTGCTTCATTCAAGACTGCTTGGAGAGACATCTTCTGAAATAGTCGCACTTTGGCTGTGCAAATAATGGTGCCATTCATGTCATTTACAGTTAGATGAACAAATCCTTTCTGATTGTTTGAGTTATGTTCTGTCCTGTGATCTGATCGCATCCACTTCAGGCCATCTGTTTGTAACAGAAGCAGAGTTATTCAGGTTGTATTGTGGAAATGGAGACCACTATGCCTAATAATCACAATTTTAAAACTCAAATTTTGCAGTTTCATGCAAAGTATTTCTCAGATCACACCATATGCTGCAGAGTGATGCATAGTTAGTTCAATACAGAGGTGGCAGTGCATTAATGAATAATGTAGCACTCTGGATACATACGTATTCATATGGCCTCATGCGAATTTACGGCTTCTAAATCTTGTTGGAATAATGCGATATTCCTCTTCTTTCAAAATAAAAATATAAATAATCATTCCAATCATTAACTGTTTAAAGAAAATTAACAATTGACCGTGTAGTTTGTCTTTTTTGAGAAGACACCCAGAAAGCATGTTCAGCAAGGGGAAATGAGTGAGTAACCTTAGAAGAGACAGCAAATGGGCAAGAACCAAATCCAAAAGGACATGAGTCTGAGGTAAGGAAGCTTTGGGGCAGAATGATGGCGTTTTCCCTGTGCTTTTTCAGTGAAGGTTTTAATTACCTAAAATGTCCTGCTGATTGTATGTGTTTTGGGGAGAGCGTGTTGATAACAGCATTTGAGTTGGACGAACCAACTGAGGTGTTGTGTCATTCAAACCAGCTTTGAAGTTTTGTATTCGGTGCTAGGAGGGCTTTCTTTTAATAAACAAGTTTGTTCTAGAACCAAACCCAGTTCCTGTGCAATTTCGTTTCCCATGAAATTATTAAGTCCAAGGTCCATTTGTAAGTTGAATGGGAACTGATTATAATAGCTCTAAAATTCTTTTCTTTCCTGCGTCACCTGTGTGTATCTGTCGAGTCATGAAGACCATTTCAAGTTTGAAAGTGCACATAAATAACATTCCTGGTTCCTAAACCCAAGGAATTTGGCTGCATAGTATTCTTAAAATTGACTTCATAAACAAGAGGTTTGAGGATTTTTTTATTCACTCATGGGAGATGGGTCTCGTTGGCTGGCTAGCTTTCATTGCCCACCCTTAGTTACCCTTCAGAAGGTGGTGGTGAGCTGCCTTCATGAATTGCTGCAGTCCATGTGCTGTAGGTTGACCCATAATGCCCTAAGGGAGGAAATTCCAGGATTTTGATCCAACAACAGTGAAGGAACAGAGATATATTTCCAAGTCAGGGTGGTGAGTGGCTTGGAGGGGAACTTGCAGATGTTGAAATCCCCATGTATCTGCTGCTCATGTCCTTCTCTTAATGGACGTAATTGTGGGTTTGAAAGATGCCGTCTAAGGATCTTTGGTGAATTTCTGCAGGGCATCTTGTACACAGCACACTGCTGCTACTGAGCATCAGTAGTGGAGGAACTATGTGGATATGATGTTAATCAGTGGGTTTCTTTGACCTGGAGGGTGTCAAGCTTCTTAAGTACTGTTGGAGCTGCACCCATCCAGACAAGTTTATAATGCTTCCTTTTTAAAATCACACTACTCTACATCCAGACAAGAGAAAAAGGAGAATAATAGAACTGAAAAAGCTCTGCAGTCTGATCTACATGCAAGTTTCCTACTGTCTGTGAGCCAATGCTGTCATCCACATCTCTTGCACACTTGTGTGTATCTGGCATATCTCTCTTCGTTGTTGCTTCACTGCATCAACTTGCTGTCTCTCCCTTGATTTAACTGAAAGTATGTCCCTAAGTAAATTAGCATCTTCAGTTATTATCTTGTGACTTTACATGTGCTGGCAGCGTCAACAGCCTGTAATATTGGAAGTCTGTTCCTTTCCAAACAAAGTATTTTGCTCTACATTGTGTGCAGAGTTCCAAATCAGCTACGTGGTAGCAGCCTCTCATCTGTTTCTCTGAATTTACACTTGCTGGCTTATTTTTTTTAATGAGATTGAGAAATTATCAATAGGCTCACCCAGTTCCTGCCTCAGGCTTGGAAATTTTTATCAGTGGATCAGATGGCTTGATCTTTGACTGGAGATGTATGCTGAGTTTCTCAACATTTTGTCCAGGTTATTGCTATCATCTTCATGGATATCTGTTATTAAACAGTACTTACTAGTACTTTCTCTCCCAGCCTCCACAGATGTAGCTGACCCTCTCATTTCACTAATACTAATACCATCAATTGGAATTTTGTGTTCAAACTTTAAGAATTCACCTGTCTCCTAAATTATTCTGAGATGGAGCAGTATGTTCATTGCTGAAGCAGTGGCTATTCTGCATTTGCACAATTCTCTCCATTTTCTTCCCCTTTCTGGTATTAATTCAGTTTGAATTTTTGATCTAATAGAGTATTTATTTTATTTATAATGCTTAGAGTTTACCAACATACATCTATTGCCACCATATTATGTCTTGTAGTTTCTGAAAATCTTTGAAAAAAATCAAAAGCTTTAAAATGAAATATTTGATGGAACTTCAATTCTCTGATCACACATCGTTAGTTTACTACACAGACTGTAAAGCAGCACTCAGTGATGTGGTCCTTTGGATACTAATGTAAACATGTGCAGGAACATATAGCTCCTAAAACATACTGGAACAATATAACAGAAATAATGGGGCAAATTTTGTGGCAATGCAGGGTGAGAATCAGTCATCAAGCTCCTACCTCCAACCCCAGGTCCATATCATACATCACCTCGGCAGCATACTGCCCTTCACCTCCAGCTAATTGACTGGTCAGTCATTCACCTATCTTTCTTACCAGCTTTGTAACAGCTTACCTTAGTGATAACTGTACTTTGCTTACCATTCTCATTGATGCAGTTAATTTGGCCAATATCCAGGTAGGTTCTTTGATACAAGACAGGTAACAGTTGAGACAGCGCCATTGGATTGCGGAACATTCCCTGTTGGGCCTCAATCAGGAGTCTCGCTTTTCCTTTTAACCACCTTTCTTCATCTCCACCAGCTAACAAAGCCTAAAGTAACACAGCATTATTGGTGATAACACGAATAGTATAATTCACAAGAGAGGATATACATTAGGTAACAGCTGTTATTTACAGGAAGCAGTGGGATGTAATGACTGCTCAGGAGAACAGTAGGATAAACACAGCACAACTTGAAAACCAAACGAAATTATGAAAACAAACTGCATTACAATTTCTGACCCCTCCAGAACTTTCAGTTCAATGTTCAGGGTTTATTGTGTCATCAAGTGAGGTTCTTTATGAACCACAGGTACCAAGGTTTGTCATTACACACAGAATATTGGGTATTGTAGTGCTGCACAGTGTGTAAACAAAGCCCACTTGTTACTGTGAATTGATCACTGTGAATTAGATGAGTCAATTCATAATGAATGTTACCAACCCTCCATGATCTCTCTGGAATCTTCAGCAGCTACAATTTATCGCAGGACGAATTATTTAAAAATTAAGAAAGAAAAAAATCAGAAACACTTTCTTTGAACATCTTGGTTGTTATAAAAATGTCTGAAGTTAAAAGCTATTCAATTTGACTGTCAAGAATCCCACAGCATTGTAATGATGCTTCTTTTCACTATTCATTTTTTTTAGGAAGGCAAGATACCACAAGGATAGAGGTGACTGGGGTCTGGGGACGAGGGTGCTTGCAGATCATGCGATAACATTTCCAGCCCAACCCTACTAACTAAACAAATACTATTCTAATCAGATGATGGTGACATAGACAACAATCAACATCATTTCTGCTGAAAGAGAGACCATAGCAAAAGACCAACAGAACAGATTCAATTAGCATAAAATATTTAACCTACAGATTTTTAGTTTATCAAACAATAAAATACACTGTACCGACATTTCTAACAATACCAAATCAAGACCATTATTCAAAAAAAAACTTATTGTACCTCACATAACCTTAACATGTTTATTTCCACATTGACGGCATGACAAGAACTGAATCCAGGGTGTTGAATATATCTGTCTTCACATTCAATGTGAAGTCAACGTTTCCAACTGAAACTCTCTAATGGCCCATTCTTGGCCTCGAGGAATGTTGTAACTCAGTATCAAGTTCCTACAGGCATCTGTAACTATATGCTAAAGATGGGATGACAGCTGCCCCACTTCACCGAGTTCATGGAACCGTGTAGCATTGAAAAAGGCATTTTCATCTGTCAGATTTTTACCAGTTTGCTCAAAGAGTTATTCATCAAGTTCCACTCCTTGGTCTTTCCCCATGGCCTTGCAAGTCTCTCTGTTTCAAATATATATCAATACATTTGAAAGTTACTATTGAATTTGCTTCTACTACCCTTTCAGGGAGTGCACTTCTGATCATAATGACCACTGCATTAAAAAACGTTCTGTCCTGGATTGTTCAGTGTCCTCTGGTTATTGTCCCTCCTGCCAATGGAAATAGCTTCTTCTTTTACTATTCCTTTTCATAACTTTGAAGATTGAGTCGAGACACAGGTCCACTCTTTACCAAAGTAAACATTCTTTTCAATTAAAAAAATTGATTATTTGTAGAACAAATAGCCGTTGGACTTAACCATCCTTTGTTGTTTGTAATGGTAACTAACAACATGTTTTCAACTGAGCCATATTTGCAAAAGGAGAATTTTCTGCTTCAATGAGCTGGCAACTGTATACCTTGGGGTCTCAGTGAACCAGTTGCTGAGCTGATATTTCAAATCCCAAATGTCACATACACTATTTAATTACAAAAGAAATCTTGGTAAGATTTATATTAAAATCCAAGTAAATTAAAATTTGGTTCATTGCAAAAAAAAAAGTGTTGGGGTGTGTATAGAACAGATAAACTGGTTTGCAGTGTTCCCTCGCGTGTCACTGTGGCTTAAAAGAGTGCGAAGATAGTCCGTTAGATCTATCATATTCAATTGGTGAAATATTAAGTCTATCCCATCCATCAGAACAGGATCAAATGTGAATTAGCACTTTACCTGATCCTGATGGTCCACGACTTCTCATCCCTAAGTTACAATACACAGTGGGGTTATGTTCAGGATACCTTATTCATTTATTAACAGTAGGAAAAATGTAGGGATTTTGCCATTCTAATGGACAGTAGAAATTTGATTACAGTATCGCGGGAGAACCCCCAGATAGTAAGAGCTGAAATGTCAAAGATCAAGCAGCTAGCTTTTGGTTGAGAAAGGGAAGGAAAGCCAAATTAACATTTGGAGAGAGATAGCTTTGGGAAAATCAGTTAATACAAGATAGCAAGAAGAACTTGGTTAAGATAGAGCTACCCAGGATCAGAAGACATTATAGAATCATACAGTCATACAGCACGGAAACAGACCCTTTGATCCAACCAGTCCATGCCGAGCATAATCCCAAACTAAACTAGTCCCACCTGCCTGCTCCTAGCCCATATCCCTCCAAACCTTTCCTATTCGTGCATCTATCCAAATGTCTTTTAAACATTGCAATTATACCCGCATCCACCACTTCCTCAGGAAGTTCACTGCATATGCAACTCATCATGTGTGAAAAAAATTTGCCCCTCATTTCTTTTTTAAAATCTCTCTCCTCTCACCTTAAAAATGTGTCCCCGAGACTTGAAACCCACCTCGCCTCCAATCCTACGGAAAAGTAAATTACCATTAACTCTATCTATACTTATCTTACAAACTTCTTTAAGGTCGAGTTTCAACCCCCGACATTCCAGTGAAAAAAGTCCCAGTTTATCTGCCCTGATCAAAAACACAAGATATTTTGTCCGCTATAGAAGCAACACCAAATTAAGCTAAATAAAATTCAGTGTGAAGATTTGTATTGGTTCAACATGCATTTCAGAAAACTAGAGCAGAATAACAGTTATACTGGATATAATGATACCTACTTCATGTAAGATGTTCGCTTAACAAAAAATAGTTCCAGTAAAATGGCTCCAGATCGTACTATAATGATGCTTGGTATTGATCAGTCAAGACAAACAAATCATTTGGGTCACTTAATGAAGAAACTCAAAATCTGTTAGAGCGCATAAGCTCAGGCATATTACCAGGTGATGCTAGTCCATTCTACATAGCAAGAGGTTTGATAGTCATGGAGAAAACATGGTACAGTGGAAAAAAAGTTGGGACCTTAAATACAGGATTGTCATTAGCTAACTAATTACTATGTATATTTATGCTGTACCTTTAATGTAGGTAACACATCCTAGGCATTTCATGGAAACTTTATAAAGCAAGATATGACACTAAGCTAAGAAGATATTAAGGTATGTGATCAAAAGCATGGTCAAAGAGATAGGTTTTAAACAAGATCTTAAAAAAGTGGGGGAAATAAAATAAAAGTAGTGAGGCACAAAGTGAAGAAATTCCAGAGGTTGGACAGTTGACAGTTTAAGGAATAGCTACCGATGGTGGAACAATTAAAATTAGAGAAGGAAAATAAAGAACCATGGATATAATACAATAAAAAACTTGCAGATGCTGGAAATCTTATTACTGCAGAAACTCAGCACGTTTGGTAGCATCTGTGAAGAGAAAACAGATTTAACATTTCAAGTCTGGTGATCCTTCTCCAGAACTGATAGTAACTACAATAGTTTCCAGTTGCCTGCCACTTCAACGCACACCACTGTGTTCCCTGACCAACTTTACTGTCTCAGGCCTGCTGCAGTACTCCAGTAAGGCTCAATGCAAGCTGGAGGAACAACATGTCACCTTCCAATTGGGGACATTATAGCCTCAGGACACAATGAGTTTAACAATTTTAGAGCATGAACACTTCCTTCCATGTCTATCAGCCACCACCGTGCCTCAGATCCTGACATGAAATGGGTTGCTTTCAGTATAGCCATTTTCAACTACTCATTGGCCTCATTATCACCTTTCTAGCATCTCGTCTTCCCTGGCCTATCAACAATCCCTTTGTATTCCTAACCTTTTTCTTTCCTCTCTCTGGGCTCTCTCTCCACCTATCCGCTCAGTCCTCTCCCCATCAACTCCTAAACACCACATCCACCCTCAAACCTGCATCACCCCCACTCCCTGTCATCAGCATAAATACCATCTTTTCCTAGCTGTCAATTCTGAAGAAAGGTCACTGGATTTGAAACATTAACACCGTTTTCTCTTCACAGATGCTGCTGCCAGACTTGCCGAGTCTCTCCAGCAATTTTTGTTCCTCTTTATTTCAGAATTAGACAAGTAGAGACATTCCAGAAAATTAAAGCTAGGAGTTAATGAGATAAGGAGACAGTATGAAAGGCTGCAAATTCTAAAATCAATCATTACTTAACAGGGAACCAATGTAGGTCAATGACAAACTTAACTTTGCAGTTAGAATAGGCAATATCTACCACATGGAATAAATGGGGGTGAAGCTAGATAAGGAAAAAAAGACGAGCGAGAAATGAATAGAACAGCCTTCTGGCAAGGTAAGATGAAAGAAAGCTCAGGTGCAGCGGGACCTATTGGGCCAAATGATGCATTTCTGTGTAGTGAATACTAGGTAAAATCCTATATATCTTCATTTTTACCAGCTATTCATTTAAGATTTGAAATGTGACAGAAAGCCCATCTGTAGAGAGACTACAGGGAAAATTTATGAGGATGTTCCAAAGGTTGGAGACCTTAGCTGCATGGAAAAAATAGATACACTAGGATTGTTTTCTTTGGAACAAAGGAGCCTAAGCAGTAATTTAACTTATTTCTCTTAGAAGACCATTAATAGCAGGAGACATAGATTTGAAACAATTGTTAGGACTAGAGGAGACAGGAGGAGAAATTATTTCATCCCAACTGTATTAGAGTTTGGAATTCTGACTGAAAGGGCAGTGGAAGGAGAAACTCTCATCACTTTTAGAAAATATTTTAGATGAATGTTGGGGCTTCTTACAATGGTGCAAAGGAGGTTGAGAAGCCACCTTATAGAAGTTTCTAAAATAATGAGGTGTATAAATAGAGTTAATGGTAGTTGTCTTTTCCCTAGGATGGGGGATTTCAAGACTGGGG